ACCTGTTCATATGCTTCGACATTTCGCTATCAGCTTACTTATTGGAAACTTTCATCTAAACAGACGCTTGCTTTGTATGTTTGTAAAATTTACCACAATGTTCAGGTTTGAAAGAAAACAAAATATGAGAAAACCGAAACAAATTATTTTATTTTAAATTTCACAATTTTATTATCCCCGTAATAGGTTGACCATTGGGTCGGGGAACCATCCCAAACTCACCTTAAAATCAAAATGTCTTGTTTCCAGATAAACTAGGGATAGTAAATATAATCTATATTAAAAGAAAGAAAAAATAAAAGACAACACAAACATCCATACACTCATGCACACATGCATATGGCACAATGTAGGTGACATAAGCTTTAGAAAATAGTGTTTTGTTCCTGTTTACCATCCAATCAGATACAAGTTACCTATTGATCTATTGAGGTCCATTTCTTACGAAATTGGTCCTCTATCTTGTTTATCTTAGCAGCATATTTTTCAACGTTCTTATACATTACAACACTCTGCTTAAAAGCATAGATGGAAGGATTTTGCATATTGACTCGGCAAGTATAAATGTAATATTTTCCCAAAATAAGCAAGAAATTACACAAACTGTCCAGTTGTTCTCTTCCTAAAAGTATTTCTTTTTTGACAAATGTACAATATTTGGGCAAGATGGTGCGAAATGATCAATAAAACTGTACCAGAACTGTGAAGTAATATTGCAATCATAGAAGAGATGTTCAATACTTTCATTCTCTCTTTTGCAAAACGTACATTTGTTGTCGTCCAATATGTGCATTCTTTTCAAAAAGTCATTAGTAGCGATTATTCTGTGGATTAATAGAAAGTTAAAAGAGATCAATTTGGTATCCTTGGTACAAAATTTCTCACTGCTATAAATTTCAGACCACTCCTCACTACTTATATTTGTAATTAATAACTGCATCCAAGATTCTTGCTTATCAGTATGTTGCCTTTTATCCCTTTTTAACAGATCTTTGTAAACAAACTTTAGTGAATTATATTTTTCAGATCCATTATTTCATCCTACTGCCTTTCAAAATTATTATGTACTAAATGGTATTTTATGGCTTCTTTCCATGCTTTTGGAATTTTGGATATTAAGGTGAGGTATTTCAAGAAGTCACCTCTTCTAGTGTTTTGTTTTATCATTTCAAAAGGTAATAAATTGCCATGATCATCAATTAGATCATTCAAAATTTAAAAACCGACGTCTGTCCAGGATTTGTATTGATAGAACATTCTAGGGGAGATAAAATTAAAAATGATCATGGATAAGAACTCATTTGTACTTTGCGGTTCCTCTTTCTAAAAAGATACTGCCAAAATGAAATCTTTCTAAACTTTTTTAATAAGCTTACTAAATTGTCTAATTTTCTTCTCCCTAAGTTCCAAATATCCTTTTCATTTCTGAATATAATTGTATTGACTAAGTTCTGCCAAGCTTCATTTTCATTTTCCAACAATCTTTTTACCCATCTTATCTTAATATACCTAATAAATGAGAATATATGTATCATACTGAGTCCTCCCTCGTCCTCTTGGGCTACTAATATATCGCGTTTAATTCTCTCTTCCTTTCCGCTCCATACAAATTTAAATAATGTACGATTTAGTTCTGCTTCAACTTTGGCTGATGGATTTGGAAGTGCTGAGAAAAGATGTATAAATATGGGCAGAACAAGGGTTTTTACAACAATTACCTTACCAACTATTGACAGATGTCTTTGACTCCAGCTAGCCAATATTTGTTTTGCCTTTGTTAGTTTCTTCATATAATTAATTTCCACCATTTGTTGTAGATCTGGCGAAAAATCTATGCCAAGGAGTGTAAAGTTTGAGGAGGACCAAATTAGGCCCATATCGGGACATATTCTTTCATTAGAAAATTTCTTGTCTCCAATCCAAATGGCTTTTGTTTTTGTTATGTTACATTTAAGTCCAGATAATTGAAAAAACTTTGCAAGATATTCATAGCTGATTTAAGAGAAAGCTGAGATCCATCAAGAAGAATAAGCGTCGTCGGCATACTGACCCAATTTATATTCATTGATATCAAAGATCAGTCCCCGTACATCCACATTTTGCTTTAAAGTTATAGCTACAATCTCATCCCCAATAATAAACAAGTAAGGTACAAGGGAATCTCCTTGACGACATCCTCTTTCTAGTCTAAAAAAGATAACATATGCGCATTATTTATAACAACTTTTGGATTCATTACAAAACAGCTTAAACCACTTGCAAATAGAATCACCAAAATTGAAAGATTGTAAAGCTTCTTCTACAAAGGTCCATTCAAATAAGTCAAAGGCTCTTTCAAAGCCTATTAGTAATAATATACCATATCTATTTTCATTTTCAAGCTGATTCATGATATCGTATAGTAGCCTGGTATTTTCTCCAATAAATCTTCCCTTCATAAATCATTTTTGGGTATCACTGATTACTGAGTGAAGAACCTTTTTGATCCTGGCTGCAATGGCTCCCTAAGCGATCTTATAGTCAATATTTAAAAGTGATATAGGTCTCCAATTTTGGAAGCATCTTCTATCTTATTCTTCCTTTGGTAGACATGTTATGACTCCTTGAGTCTGAAAATTTGAAAGTTTTCCTACAGTGTATCCATAATTTATTGATCTACAAAGGAATTCTCCAAGAAACTTCCAGAAGAATTTATAGAACTCTACAGTGAATCCATCTGAGCAAGGACTTTTTCCGTTTCCCATATTATATAAAGACAAACCACATTCATTTAATGTAAGCACACCCTCGCACGAATCTCTTTCCTCTTGACTGAGTTTAATATTGTGATTAAAAAATCTATTTTGGTTAGATAATCTATTTTGAGTTTCTTGAGTCTCCTCGTCATCCAGCTGAACAATTCTACTTTTGTACAATTCCATATAAAACTGTTTTTGGGCTTCTAAAATATCTATTTGATCAGATAATTTTGTCCCATCGTCTAAAATAATTTCCTTTATTGTCTTATTGACGTAATTTCTTTTTTCAAGATTTAAAAAGTACCTTGTGCTTTTTTCTCCAAATTTATACCATCTGGCTTTAGATCTTAAGATAACGCCCTCTATGTACTTTTTCCTAGATTCCTCTAATGATGCTTTCTTTTCATCTAACTTTTCTAAAGTTTTCCCATCTGTGTTATTCAGCAGTTCTCCATAAATTTCTATTATTTTTGTTCAATTTTGTTTTAATTTTTCCCGTTTCTCTTTCGTTTTTTTAATAGAGAAGCGTATAATTTCAGATCTTATTTTCATTTTCAATATTTCAAAGAACATTTGGTCATTACAGGAAAGTTATATTTCACTTTTTATAATATGTGGTATATTTCTTTTAGGCTAGAGGTCAAAGAATCATAATTTTTTTTTCTTTTTCATTTCATGAGTGTATCTAGGGTAAATTGTATCATTTCTATGATAGTAGAATGAGAATCAGTAAATTTGCTTTATATTCACATATATATCAAGTATTTTACTTTTGAATTCCAATCATTCATCACTGTTGTTTGTGCTATTCAATTAGTCCAAATAGAGAAATCCCACTCGGTTTCAATTCTGTTACAAAGATGATGGCAGTCATCAATATATATATATATATATATATATATATATATATATATATATATATATATATATATATATATATATATATATATATATATATATATATATATATATATATATATATATATATATATATATATATACTTTGCAAATATGGCATCATCAAAGGTCTGACCAATAATTGTGTCAGCTAAAAAAAATAATTTCCTGATTGTCATCATCTCAAGAGTCCGTTATGTCACAGCTCGAGTAATTGCTAAAGTTGGATATAAATCATGGATTTCAATCTCTGCAGGGCAAACTTTCTGATGCGAGTAAGGTTTGTCATTTCCAAATGGGTCTTCTCAAATTAGGTTATTACTTTTAATAAATGAATACATCAGACAGATATATAAGCCACGTGTCGATTTCCACCTACACCGCCACATTGTTGTGGAATTTTATTTATGTTCGATGGCCACTAAATAAAACAAATATCATCTAGAAGACGAACCAAAGTTTAACAATTTCCCTTTATTTTAGAATATTATATTAATAATCCTAGCAACTAGTATGTATATAATAGCACCAGAGACATCACTGTTTGACAAGCACATTATCGTGAAGGAATTAATTTGCGTCCGAGAGTAAAGCACAAATAAACCTACCCCTGCAAATGTAATCCTTTTGTTTTATTAGAAAAAAATGTGATTATTGTTTACCCTGAAAGCGTCATATCGGTTCATCAAAGCGGCTCATAAATGTTGCATGATATTTAAACATGCATCCGTAGTGTATTGTAAAATAAACCAGAGAGATCGCGTGAGAATGTACACGGCGAAAGCTCCACGGCAAATACAACAAGAAGACTGAAAGGCCATTGTTCGAAACGGTGCAAGAAAACTTTAAACAACTGGCGTTAAATAAATAGTCGTGAGTGACCATTGTTACCAAACAATGGAGAGTGCCATGCAGTGAAATGGCTTGCTGGCGAGACGCTTACTCAGTCTTCTCAATACCATCTGTGCTGGTGTATGAGGTGATGTCAAGACAAAGTCGTGAGTTGGGATAAAAGGTTTTGACACAAATTAGTATTAAAAAATACAAACCCGCTATTAAGATACTACTCCCAAGGCGCATTAGGCAGTGTGTGTGTATGTGTGTGTGTGTGTGTGTGTGTGTGTGTGAGTGTGTGTGTGTGTGATTTTGAATTTTAAAGTATCTTTAAAATATTTTCAATCATATCGCTACGATGTCTGCAGTATGGCAGTTTATGGAGAAGATTACTCTGGGGCATCTTGCCGAAGACATGTAGCATGGTGTCCTACCGAGTTACATTATCCTGAAACCAGGCCGACTAGTCGTAACACTGACCTCTGTAATGCTGAGTGCCTAACGAGGCGGCTGAAAGTACTTTTTATTTTAAGTCTTTGGTATGACTCATCAGGGGAACCCACGACCTTCCGCATCTGAGGCGGAAGCTCTAACCACTGGACCGACGGAGCGGCCCCTCATTAGGAAGTCTCGCCACCTTGATAGAAATGAAAACGTGGCGAGGGGTGGCAGGAAAATAGATTTCGTGACATGTTTTTGTGTTGTGTTCGTTAAGTAATTTTATTCACTTCAGCAGCTTTAAAGATTGAAGAAAATACACTGCCGCCGAAATTGTAACGCCCCCTAAAATTTGCCGCCATAGTTAGCCTTTGCCGTAATACGACACTGCTGAAGAGTCTGGCGATATTAATATACTCTTTTGTCATAAACTAAATAACAGAACATATAAAAACCAACTAGTTTATTAAAGTTCAATAATAATATTTTTCCTTAGACTACAATGATGAAATGACCACATTTAGATCTGAATTTGCTACTCAAGTAGCCGCGTTTGTAAATTTCGTAGAAACACATATAGAGCTATTAATGAACTTTTCGGAAGTAAGGCCGTCATCGACATTAAGCTCTCTGACATTAAATATTTACCGATGATTTAGTATACATAGTAACGTCTGGCTCAGCATTATGGACATCACTCAGTAATTCCATTAAACATTGCTCTAAGGATACCGGCATATTCAGTCTCTCAGTAATAGGCCTTACAACATTTACGCTATCCAGCACAATTTAACAGCATTTTCCGGTCCTAACTCCGTCTGGATTTATGTGAGTGATATTGGATCAAAACGACGAGGTACATTTGTGAAGGAACCCGAAGAGAAAGGCGCTTCCGTGTTGTATTATTGGTGTCTTGAATCAGACGCTAAACTACACTTATTTAAATTAAATAATGAATAATTGATTGACATTGTTGCAGCGCAAAATTACATATATGGGCAAGTGTGTTTGATGCAAACCCAACTGAAAAATATCATTGATGAGTCAACAGTAAAGCAAAATACCACAGACATATCGTTGTTACTGACATTATTGTAATCTCTTCATCCGCTGAAGTCACTGCAGCATCCACGCTAACTGTCAGCATCATACATAATAGCACCAGCAATAGGAAATGGCATTACATCTATTACCGATGTATTTTTAATATCATCTTAAAAACGATATCCATGTGTGCGGCTGATAAATTGAACGCGTATACAAAGTTGCTATCAGCAGAAACACACTCGGACGCCAAATTATCGTCGTTTATTAATTTATTCGCTCGTACCAACAAAAATGAACACAACACCATCCGCTAATTTATGGCGGTTGTTTGGAAAGCTACCTGCAGAAGTATCCAAACAAGAAACTGAAAAAGCAAATCATTGAAACGATACATCATTTAATTCAAGTTGTATCTGACCTCAAGTATGTTAATTTTTAGGATCCAATTGATCAGAAAGTTCTATATCATCATATTGTATTTTTTAATCTTAGAAATAATTGCATTAATATTTTCGGAATTTATTATATAATAAAGAACAAAAGAAAAAGAAAATTCGCGGCCGTGTTTATAATCACTCTACCGGAGTTCATCAAGTATACAATTGAATGATTCAAGAACGCGTACAATTATCAAACTATTTGCTGCATTTGTCGATGGAGATATTATTTTGTCGTTTGTCTGAACGTTCACAGATTTATCTGCTCTTGCGCGCATATAGTGTTTCCCAGTATTTCCAAATTCGCAATACTTACTGTATAATAGCTCGTAAATTACTCAAGGAATTGTGTTTTAGATGAACCGCTAGATGAGTTTAAAAGGTTAATCAGATTGCAGCCAGATAAAATTCAATTTGAGATAATGCATGAAGTAATTCTAGAGACTATGATGAGTGATTTTTCGATTTTGTGGAGATCAGCTTATTTGAAAGATGCAAACTGGAAGATAATTATTGATACACTTCAGCAGCAATCATGTATGTTACATAAAGAAACGTTTCAGATTTATCTGTGTCATTATGTCGTCGACTAGTAGAAATGTGCAAAAAATGTTGAAGCTGAGATTCCTAGACGATTGTTAAAACCAAGGAAACAAAATATTTTGTCAAATTACATCGTTTTATTTCCTGCTTGTGCTGTTGAGAGCGCGTTCACAATGGATAAATCTCCGTGGACTCTAGGACATCCTGTAACGATTCATTTGTCACAAGGATTAACTATTTCCGATATAAAAATATTGTCGATGATCGGATTGAATGGTTAAATTTAATTTATCTGGCGGTGTCGAGAGTCAGAAGAATGTCTCAGCTATGGAGGGTTATCATAGACAGCGCAATGACTACGAAAACTACTGCTAGAAATTGGTGATGACATAGTAAGGGACAAATTAGCTGGTTATCAGCAATCTGACAAAAAAGGTAAGAGTGACTTTGACTTCAATGTTACGTTTATCATGATGCTGACACAACAACATAATAATCATTATGATTGCTGTAATATAGTAATGTTGTTGCAGTATTCTTCAAATCACCCATGACAGTATAGCTATATATAATTAATAGTAGTCTCGCCATACATACGATAATGTCATGTTGACCTGCCTTGAGTGTATTTGACGGGGGGGGGGCGCTGGAGTCCTGCTTTCACAGAAGGGAAGGCGATTGTAATTGTGTATCTTCAGGAAGTACTTGTAATTGTTCGCGTACAAATCCACCTTGAGGAGAGGTTGACTCTAGTCTGTAAACTGTATGTCTACCTTTGCATCTTACCAATCTGGAAATTTTGCGTGTGGTCACACTCCAAAAAAGATCAGTTGCTCTTTCTTTTACTCCCTACAAATTCACTAGGTTCATATAAATATTTGACTGTTACAATTCCTAGCACAAATTCTTTTGTGAGAGTCACGTCATTTAACTGGTATACTTTTTACGATCGCATTAATGGAGTTCATCGAAGTTCCACAGTAATTCATCATTTAACGCAGATTTCACACTTGGTAGTCTTTCAACCAATTCACTAAATCTCTTGTCTTTCCGAACTTTATTTAGGGATTTTACCTGCGTATATTGCCCAAATAACCGCTCAGCAAGTATTTGATCAACCACAATTCATCGTGATCAGACAATCGTTGAGCGAGGCTGGAATACAATTATCAATGTGAGAGAACCAAAATCAGACGATGACATTGCAACGTAAAGATACGTAGACAGCAACAATGCTAGGATAAGAACCGATCCTTGATGAATTGCGGTATGTCTTCGTCTGATTTTGGCGTTATATTATTTCATAAATGACGTTATTACACCAAGAAATTCCTTGCCATGATCAACTTGCAAAAGCTATGGCCATAGCAAGGGCATTCGTTAATATATTCGTTCAAACGCGAATTAACTTCAGTTGCTGTCTTTGATGATAATGTTTACGCTTCTTTATATCTCTTTGCAACGTCAACAACATTCAAGGCTTATTGGTATGTGATTTAATGACGTAGACGTGTTTAGTAGTATCATGCGATAAAAGCAAGATATCTGCTGGAGCACTGAAATGAAAATGTACGTACTAAATTTGTTTTGGTGGTGTCAAAAGAATTTGCCATATTGCCTGTCGTGCTAACCAATTTGCAGAAACAGATCTCGTGACATTCGCTGCATCAGCAAGTTTACTAATAACTGCTCTACCTTTCAATATCCTCTTGGGAAATCGATTCCATAAAAAATAGTTATATATGATTAATGTACAGGCCCATAACACTAGTTTACCTTTCATCGCAGATCTTACCAGCCAATTAGCAAGTGATTCTCTGAGAGATTTATTTTTTACAGACCTTAAAATATGAATCAATTTCACGCCTGCAATACGTCTTTGTTGCATATCGCGATTTTGTACGCGACATTATGAACATGGTACGCTTGATCAATCGCATTTATTGGATACTCTCCAGGTCTTGGTTGGTTTCGTTCGTCAAGACGGGTTCCAGAACAATAAAAATTATATCAAGAAAGATGTTTCTTTCCAATGTAGCGCCTGGTAATTGTGCCAGTAAAGCAGTGATATCACCGCCTGTTTCATTAGAGATAAATTTGTATTTGCTTGTACTAAATTGTACACACAAGCCTGTAAGGGCACGCATTTTATTTCTTGTTATTATTTTTGTTAATCTACTGATGGAGGTGCGTGTTCTGCATCGAACACAATATAAATTCACATTATTTATTATATCTCTACAACATGGATATAACTGGTTTCTCAGCGAAACGAAAGCAAGAGCCAGTCAAGCATCTTCCAGCGCTACCAAATTCTATCGGAGCAATTATCATAGGTCCATCTGGATCTGGCAAGACGCAATTGTTGCTTAATCTGATAATGAGATGGCTCAAGTAGAATATGTTGTATTTAGTGGTACTATCTGTATGTGATCAGCAATGTTATGATGTGCATCAAGATTTTAATGAAGAAGCAAAGTCGTCTGATGAAGACGATAATGATATTATTGATTTTATAACCAATATTGAAGAAGCTCCATCTGTAGATGACCTCGATGGATGTATTAATTATCTCGTAGTATACGATGATGTAATGCTCAACAAACGATCAAATTAAGCAAGGGATATTTTCCGGAATTGGACACAAAAACACCGATATTATATATGTTACTCAGCTATATATAAAATAACGAGATATATACACACGTTCATATACGATTTACTATGAAAGAAGAACCTTAAAGAGACAAATTTTAGTGATGAATTTGAAAATATACTTCCGTACAATGATGTTAAATAATATAATCAAACTTGTGTAACACGAATAAGCAGCAAACATTCCCTAAATAAAAGGTGGAATTGGTCGATTCCATCATACGGGCTGTTCGTTTTATTTCTGCTTTGTTCAATCCCTTGGACTGTGTCAAATTAAGGTTGCGCCATATTGCCAACAAAGGTGTTCTAGTATTAATGCACAAGTCAAATTTTAAAAACAAGTACCTTCTCCACATACTGTGTACTACAAGGTGTTAATGTAGTGAACCTCTCCGCAGTGAATTTCTAAATAAATTCACAGTTTCAATAACTTCATTGTCTCTTTCGAAAACTGTTCCTTGAGAAATGAATATCAATATTGACTAA